TTTGTTTGTGTGAATGCGTGTGTGTGTATGTGTGTGTATGTGTGTATATATGTGTGTGTGTGTGTGTGTGTGTGTGTGTGTGTGCATGTGTGTGCGTGTGTGTATGTGTGTTTGCATGCGTGTGCGTGTGTGTGTATGTGTGTGTATGTGTGTGTATATGTGTGTGCGTGTGTGTGCGAGTGTGTGCGTGTGTGTGCGAGTGTGTGTATGTGTGTGTATGTGTGTGTGTGTGTATGTGTGTGTATGTGTGTGTATGTGTGTGTATGTGTGTGTATGTGTATGTGTGTGTATGTGTGTGTATGTGTGTGTATGTGTGTGTATGTGTGTGTGTGTATGTGTGTGTATGTGTGTGTGTGTATGTGTGTGTATGTGTGTGTATGTGTGTGCATGTGTGTGCATGTGTGTGTATGTGTGTGCATGTGTGTGTATGTGTGTGCGCGTGTGTGTATGTGTGTGCGTGTATGTGTATGCGTGTGTATGTGTGTGCGTATGTGTGCGTATGTGTGCGTATGTGTGCGTATGTGTGCGTATGTGTGCGTATGTGTTTGTATGTGTGTGTATGTGTGTGTGTGTGTGTGTATGTGTGTATGTATGTGTATGTGTGTGTGTTCGTGTGTGTGTTCGTGTGTGTGTTCGTGCGTGTGTTCATGCGTGTGTTTGTGTGTGTTCGTGTGTGTGTGTGTGTGTTCGTGTATGTGTTTGTGTGTGTGCGGGCGCGTGAGCGTGTGCATGTGTTTGTTTACGCGATGTTTCAGTTTTGTTTTGATGACTGCAGCCAAAAGAAAAATGGTGGCTTAGAAAAAGGGAAAGATAGCGTGAGAAGTAAATCGCCCTAGGATGCCACAAAATGTCAGTTCTCTGGAGGCAAAATATATCATTTTGGTTTCAAGAAAAAACTATCCCTGCCCCTTCCCCAATCCACCACCGCCCCTATCTCACACACACCTCTCTTCCCCCACGCCTAAATACACACACACACACAGAGAGAGAGAGAGAGAGAGAGAGAGAGAGAGAGAGAGAGAGAGAGAGAGACATGTTAAGAAATGTATCAAACAATTGAAATATCCAGCTTTAAAAAAACCCATGAGAATATCAAAGAGTCTTACTGTGCTGCCTGCAGTAGGGCTGAGTCTGTATTCTCTTCCTTTTGCAGAGTCTCCTCCGCTGGCTAACCAGGGTCAATTCCTGACATCTTCCGAACTGAAAAAAGATTTAAGAACAATTAAGAACAGATCATAACTTATCAGCTCCTTTTACAAAATGGCAAAATGAGAATGACAATATGTTGAAAAAATGGGTAGGTCTTTTATACGATAAACGTAATTGTAAATGTTTTTAGCCCCCCATCAACACAAATCTGGTAGTTCTAAAGCAGAAGGATGTTACAGACTTTTTTGTTTGGATGAATGTGTATGGATTCATTCTTAAAACTTCTATGTATTACATCCCTCCCCCCCCCCTCCCTCTCTTGCTCTCACTCTCACTCTCTCACTCTCTGTCTCTCACTCTCACACTCTCTGTCTTTCACTCTCTGTCTCTCACTCTCTGTCTCTCACTCTCTGTCTCTCACTCTCTCTCTCTCTCTGTCTCTCTCTCTCTCTCTGTCTCTCTCTGTCTCTCTCTCCGCACCTATACATCACCCCTTTCACTTATATGACAGTATGTAACGGACTTTCCCCTTTATCTACTAGCTTTAAGCATGCACATGCTCATCAGTCACTTGGGTATCTCTCTCTCTCTCTCTCTGTCTCTCTCTCCTCACCTATACATCACCCCTTTCACTTATATGACAGTATGTAACGGACTTTCCCCTTTATCTACTAGCTTTAAGCATGCACATGTTCATCAGTCACTTGGGTATGAAATATTATGACTTTAACGCCCCTATCAACACTATTAGGTTATTCCAGGGGCGGGACCTAGTTTAACGTCAGTCTCCGATAGGACCGAACCAAGTGGGAAGTTCGTGTAAAGTACTTTCCCAAGGACACAACGTCGGACCGAGCTGAGGCTCGAACCCCGAGGCCGCAATCTTACGATTACGAGTACGGTAGCCTAGGCCTACCCACAAGGCCACCAGTCACTGGGAGCTTAGTAAGTATACGTATGCACGTGCAAAATAAATGTTCGTTTTTTATGTGAACAAAGATGTTTGTAGGCTTTGGTTCTAGTTCCTGTTCAAAGATGCACCGTTTAATTAGCTCTTTGAGAAAGCTTGGTTGAATCGAACTTTTTTTAACAGCTTAACAATTTGTGCGTATGTGTTGGAATCTTGATGGGAGGGGATTGGCAGAAAAAGGGAGGGGGGGGGGGCAAATTTATGTTTCCCACTCTTAGTTTCTCGCTGTACCGTAAGTCAATCTTAACTGAATTGTTGAACTATAAATAGGCCTAATTGACTAGTTGAACTATAAATAGGCCTAATTGACTAGTTGAACTATAAATAGGCCTAATAGAATAGTTTAACTATAAATAGGCCTAATTGACTAGTTGAACTATGAATAGGCCTAATTGAAGAGTTGAACTATAAATAGGCCTAATAGAATAGTTGAACTATAAATAGGCCTAATAGAATAGTTGAACTATAAATAGGCCTACTGTTTAACCACAAAAACATGGCAAGAATCATGATTTGAAGATGTGCCTTTTAAAAAATCAGGTGATAGATTTCGACCCGGAAACTGTGTCCCTCAGAAACACACACAAGCTTGACGTCTCATCGAGCTCAGCATTTTTCTCCCAGCAACTGCAGGCAAGAAATAGCCTGTCACTCCCCGATCAGCAAGATAAAATAAAACTGCAATTAGATAGCTAGTGCTGAAAGTAGCCTACATTTTCTTTATTTTTAGATACAGACGCTTCAAAAACCCCTGTCGATACAATTTATACCCGGGCCAGCCTGGGCTGAGAGGGATACAATATGATTGATTGATGGAGTAGATGTTTTACGGCACTATCGACTCAATTATGGATACAACATCCCAGCAGAAAGTTCGAGGTACTGGATAAACATTCTTCCCTGTCAGGAATCAGAATCGAGACTTCTGCTTGTGACAAGGAAGCACCTAATCAGCAATCGCTGCAGCAGATTTCAGTGATTGATTGATTGATTGAGTAGGTGTTTTACGGCACTATCTACTCAATTTTGGTAATTTAAGTTCCAATAGGTTTCACCGCAACCAATCTAGGATCAGTCGTGTTTTAGCAAGAGTTTGTCGGAGCGCGCAACTGCACACGGCCATATTATCATCATCATGCTAAAAGGACGAACAGACAGATTTCAGTGAACGTACATGGGAGAGATTCAAACATGTGGAAAACGTCAGAGTTAGACATTAATTATTCTATTGCTAGCTGGGCCCCCTTTCGATGAAAGAAATGATAGGTGCATTAACATCAACTGAAAGTCATTGGCCTACTATATTTACACTAGTACTGGAATTCAGCCATAAATCTTGAGATGCAAAACAATTAGGTCTAGATTCTAGATTTATGCAACCGAGAGAGGAGGGGGAGGCCGGGGGGGGGGAGGATTACTGAGGCATGCTGAGTTTACTAAGGCAGGGATACATGACTACAATAAAGAACTCAAGATCAGCATTTTGGCCACTTTAACAATTTAAATTTTATCTCCACAATAAGGCAACGACTAGAAAAGTCCAGTTTGGTAAGACCAAAAATACACCTAATACTTTTTTTCATATTATTGTAAATGTTTACTTTCAATACATGTATCAGCTCCTTGTGTTTGACTGGCCACAAGAAATAATAATCTAGATCTAAGTTTAGATGGTCGCTTTTAAGGACAAGCGGGCTAATCCAGATTTCGGGGGTTTTCCAGAAATTTTGACCGACACTAAAAGTGGACTTTGCCCACAGAGTTCTACACTAAGCGTATAATTCTGTGACTTTGCCCTACTTATAGGAGAAGTTTGGTTTCATTGGTGTGTATGTTTGTTTGGTTATAGAGAGAAGTCTCATTGTCTTTTAAAGAAACTGAACAAGGGGCAAAAACTTTACTTTCGATTTTCTCAAAACAGCCTTTTTCGGGATAGCCCCCTTGTGCTTAAAAGCGACCAAATTAATATAGATAGTCTAGAAATGTACACAACAAAATTACTTACTGTTGCCATGATGCTAATTCTTGAAGATGAAGTGTATCGAAAGCTAGAGTGTAGATCTAGACGCTAGCTGTAGTGCAGAGAACGAAGACACTGACACAATTGACGGGCAAAGTGGAGTTTGACCAATGTCATTAACGTGAGTTCAATCCGTGAACGAAAAATCAGTGAACGAGGGTTCATGAAGTTTGAAAAAACAACAAGGTGTGTGTGTGTGTGCTTGAAAGGGGTGGGGGTGGGGTGAAAAAAGAAAAGAATGAAATGAGTGAATGAAAGAGACAGACAGGGAGAGAGAGAGAGAGAGAGAGAGAGAGAGAGAGAGAGAGAGAGAGAGAGAGAGAGAGAGAGAGAGAGAGAGAGAGAGAGAGAGAGAAAGAGACAGAGAGATACAGAGACAGAAAAACAGACAGGGGTGGGGGGTGAAAAGAGAGAGGGAATGAAATTAGTGAATGAAAGAGAGATAGACAGAGAGAGAGAGAGAGAGAGAGAGAGAGAGAGAGAGAGAGAGAGAGAGAGAGAGAGAGAGAGAGAGAGAGAGAGAGAGAGAGAGAGAGAGAGGGGGGGGGAGAGGGGGGCTAATCAGAAAGGAATAAACTATACTTTGACTGGACAGTAGGATGAAATTATGTGGTTTGGGTGGGTTTTTTGTTGTTGATTTTTGTTATTGCTGTTGTTGCTGTTGTTGCTGTTGTTGTTGTTGTTGTTGTTGTTGTTGTTGTTGTTGTTGGGTTTTTTAATAGCTTGCCTTGAAATGTTTTGCCAAGATAATGTTTCCCAGAAAGCATTCAGTAGGCAGCTCGGTTTTGGCAGTTCACCCCAAAGACTGGAATAGTTTAATGGTACCAGTAGTTCGGGTGGGGGAGGGGGGGTGCCTTGTATGGGTGACTTTCCTACGTGTGTGCCTGTGTGTGGTAGGCGGGTGCTCTGGTGTGGTTTGCTTCTTCTTTCCGATCAAACATCCATCGACTGTATCTCCCCTCCTTCTTTTTTGTGTTTGTAACTGTCTTGTAACACCTCTAATCTTCGGCGCTTATATGACCTTATTGTGTTGCAAGTGCCGTACTTACTAAAACAAATACGTGTGTGCGTGTGTGTGGTTGCATTTCCGTATTTGTAACCGTCTATCTGTTTGTGTGTGCCTGCACGTGTGAGTTTGCGTGTGGGGGTGTGTGGGGGTGTGTGGGGGTGTGTGGATGGGCGTGTGGGTGTTTTTGTGTGTTTGTATTAGTGTGCGTGTGTGTGTTTGTATTAGTGTGCGTGAGTGTGTGTGTATGTGTGTGTGTGTGTGTGTGTGTGTGTGTGTGTGTGTGTGTGTGTGTGTGT